GCCATCTGAGCATTAATTAGAAATGGGTTTTCCACCCATACCCTTGGAATGAAACTTCATCCGTCTGATTGCTTTGTTATCGCTTTCCATTGTGCGTCGATTAAATGATGTGTTAATTTTTCACCCCTCCCTCCCTGGCATTCGGTCCGTCCGGATACAAGTATATCATGCAAAAAAGCTCCGATACATTCATTTAAATCAGACAATTACCATGCAAGTCGAGTCCGAAGGGGAGAAAGGCTGCACTTAATGCAATTATTTGGCATAGCACAAAGTTATTTCTGTGTCATAAAAATGGACAATAAACCAATTTAACTTTTGCAATATGCTGGCCAGCAGCAACCCCCGGGAAAATGCCGACAGCCCAGCGCCCCCAAACTTTTCCCAGCCTTATGCTTTCGGTCAAAATAGTTCGGTGTCCACTCTAAAAATCCAGCAGAAACGAACTCGTGCGGAGGGAGGGTCTTCCCCCAATTTCACGCTATTCCATATATAAATTCCCCCGAAAGCAGAAGGGGGCAACTCGAACCACCACCACACCACCACATGTGCCTGGGGGTCAGGCCATAACTTTAATATATTTCACTACGAATTATTTCTGACGGACACACACCCTCATCCCCTTTCTCTCTTAATGAATGAACATATTTCGGCTGTTCATATTATTTCTCCACCGCAGGTTGCCGGTTGCCGGCTGTCGATGCCTTTGCCCTTATTGTTATCCTTGTGGTTGGTGTATCTAAATACGAGCAGATAATTGAAATCGAGTGTAAGTAAGTGCACGGAGAGGTGTCCATGTGTGTTCGAGTGTGTACAGTGCTTAGCGAAACGTTAATGCCATTCCTGAAGATCAAAGTTTGCAGTTGATGTCTAGTTTTAATGATTATTTATGTATATGACATCCTGGTGGCCATAACTAATGGGCGAAGGCCCTCTGGCGATGCTTGTTGAGGTCATGCGGGGTCAAGATGCATCATGATTATAGCCAGAAATGAGGACTAACTGATGCACATTCAATTTTCAAAGTGGCAATTTTGTTCTATGAAAGCATTTATAATTACATTGAGCATAATAATTACATTGGTAGGCCAGAATTGTCCTCCTTTCTGCTTAATAGTTCCATTTTAAGATAGGCTCTGCCGGTAATTCTTAATAATTAAAAGCTGTTTAAGCGTCGTTCTTGCGGTTTAAAGTGTTTAATTAAAAACACAAGGCTGACAACAATAGCGGCGCAATATTGTCAGGTTTGGCGTTATGGCCATCGGGCTTTCGGCCATCATGTGTCACCCGCAGCAGCGGCAGCATAAGTTGCATCTGCAGCCGTGGCAGCAAACAGCCACGGGAGCAACGTCGGTCGCAGCAGCATGGTGCAACATGGTGCATGCAACAAAAGCCGCAGCGGTCATGTAAAGTTAATTAAATCAAGCGACATGTGTTTTAAATAAATTGAATAAACTCGGCATTAACATAAAACGAAATTAATTTTAATAGGCTTGCCGTAAGTTGTTAAACCAAAACTATAAACAAGTTGCCATTGTCGTTTGAAGCGTCCCAAGGAAAAGTTGAAAGACCAAAGTTTTAATGCGTATTTTTTTGTTTGTTTTTTTATGTGTTAATGCGTACAAGTATAGCATCATTATGCTAACGAATTTATGGCAAAAGCCACACACTCAGAGTCGAAGGGAAATTGGAATGGAAAACGTAAACTTTTATAATCAAATTTAGTGGCGCAGACATTTCTGGTTTAATTAATTTGTCGTCATTAACTTGAGTCGAAATGCGAGTGGCTTTGAAACGTGAGGAGAGCTGGCCGGAAAAGTCCTTGAGTAGGCGCATCCTTGGCTCTTCTTGTTTGCGGTCGAGGGTCCTAACCTTCGAGGCGTCGATTCACACACAAACAGAAATACACAAACACAGAAGCACAGAAACACAGAAACGCACAAATACTCGTACACTTTCATCGTCTGGCTTTTGTTTGTAGGGAACAAGAAACCGCAACTCGTGTGGGTGCTGGTGTATTTATATCCGCACCATGGTATCTTTGTATCTGGGGCTGCCGCATCTGATCCTTGGGAAGGTCACAGGCGCTACTGCTCTGCTTTTTGCATTAAGATAAATTACACACTCTGTGTGTCAAACAAGCATTTGTACTTGCGGCCAAGCGAACTGAATTATGGCACTTGGAGTTGCAGTTACAGTTGGAGCTGGCTAATGAATCCGTAGGCCGGAAATCAGGTCAATGCGATTGTAAATTATGGCTTAGTCGGCTTTGGATTTGGCCCAAAAACCCAAACACACAGGTGAATCTGCTATTTACGGCGGAAACACACATGAAAGGGAGCGCAGACCTGTATTGATTTTCTTAAATTCCGCCCACAAACTCCATCATCCCTCGAATTGCGTATACGCCCTTTTGGTGGCACATTCATTGATTGTGCTTGCGTGTGTGCTTTTCGTTAGGTTTTGGCCAATTGTACCTATGACTTGACTTCAATTGTGTGAATTTGCTGATGGACTTATGAAATGCCTGGCTAGAAATCTTGCCAAAACTTTTGGCCCTCCTTCGGCGTTTACAGCTGAAAATTGCTGCTTAATTGCTGAGCAGGGTTGGCTAATTTAGCCGACGATGGCTGCCCACAGCTCTGAGTACTACATCCACCTGCTGGTCGAACGTAAAAGTTTGCTCGTTTTTGGCCCGAAAAAAAGGGAAGTGCTGGGTGAAACAACAAACTTTTGTTGGCTGCCAGCGCTAAATGCTCGAAATTCTTTAAGTTTACGAGAGGAATGAACATTTGTGAACAGTTTTCATTTCCCTGCTTTACGGCTCCCCCGGCCATTTTCCTGTTTTCCCGCTTTTCCTGTTTTTTGTGCTGTTTTTTTCGGCTTTGCGTGCGTGAGGGAAATAAGGAGCAAAGTTTCTGTGTATATGTGTGTGCCTTTGCACCCCTTTTGTGCTGTTTCTATTTACGCAATGTCCGCAACTTTGGTCCAAAAACCAGGTGGATATTGAGGTTGCGTCTGGGGGTTTTTTCTGGGGGTCATTTCAGCGGGGGAGCGCTAATATTCGCCATTAAACTTTTGCTTGTTTTTCTTTAATTAACAACGCAAACATCTGATATGCTATCCCAACGCTTTTCGCCTCGTACTTTCCTTCTTGTTTTCCCTTTTCGTATTTTTTTTTTTCTGTTGTTATTTGGTCTGGTTTTTGTTGCTTACTTTGGCGTCTCGAAAAACCTTTATGAAGTTGAAAATATCCTTCTTTCCCTTTTTATTTTTGTGGGTCGCCGGAAAAGTTTGAGCGCTTAAAACTCGTTTCTGTTTACATTTCTGCGGTTGGAAAATCCCTCCCCAGATTGCAGTAATTGTAAGGCTGAGAATCTTTGCCTAAGCCCAAATTGTTTATGTAAATAAAAATGCGAGACAAAGGCGAATTTTCACACATAATAGCCCCGGCTAGTCATAATTTCTGATAAGCATTAAAAAGTTTTCCATTGCTGCTGCGAATAGTATTTCCTGCACTTTGTTGGTTAAAGCGGATTACTTACTCACATTCATCCGATATGCGAAATGAGTTTTAATTATTCAGCGACAGCTCAGCAGAACGGGAATCTGTGTTGGGCTTAGCTCGGCTTTCAGTCCATAAAAAGTCCACTTGAAAACTAATTAAACACTAATAGTTGGGGTGCAAAAAAAAAAAAGCAATAGAGAGCTCGGGTAAAATAAAACACATCTTAAGTGGCGGAAGTGACGGTCAGGATGGGGGTAAGTCGGGTGGCTGAGAGGTCCTGCCGTTGAACAAACAACGAAACGAAGTCCGTGCAGCCGGGCAAAAGTTTTTAATTTTGCTCGAGTACTGGCGGAAAAGTAAAGTACAAGGAAGCACAGGCTGCTGCGCGCGAATGAGTCTATAAGTTCTGAAGAACACCCCATCGCCGATCCCCTGAAAGCCCCTATCGACTTCACACAATGCGGAAGAGAAATGTCTTGCCGATGGAATAAAACAATGGCAAAACAATAGCAATGCGAACGGGTTCTGGATGCCAAATGGCCAGGGAGCCGGGTGAAAAAGGATAACAGACGTCGCCGACGGAAGTGGAGCGAAATGGCAAATCAAGAAAAGAAGCATGGGGCGTGGGCGGCAAATCCGCTTAAAGTGAAAATTATTCCTTTCGGCCATCAAAAGGGAAACCCCGCACACACCCACACACAACCACACACACACAGACACAGCCAGCCACATCTATTTCGGCTTCTTGGCATTCGCGGCTATGTAAGCTGTTGACTTATTTCCCAAAACTTCGATTTCGGCCCTCAGCCCATTGTTGTGAATAGTTTTGTTTGCTGGGGCTTAGCTGCACGGGAATTCGAGGCCGAACAAAGTGAGGAAAACGTTTAAGCCATTCTATTTGTATTTCGAATATTTCTGGGCGAGGGCACTACAAAAAATACTCCATTTCAACGCTCTGACAAGGCTTTCTTAAAGAAAATTGTTTGTTTGATGTTGCATTCTCTCTATGATATCATAATAAAACAAATTCTGAGAACTGCAAATAGAACCCCCGCGCCAACGTATTTTGCTTTCTAAGAAACTGTAAGATTCTAAAAGAGAAAATTCTGTATGTGATTACTTGTAGTTGTGCTTTAGAAATTTGTTTCCAAAAACACCTTGAGTTTTTCGGGATAGCTTTGAAACAACTTTGCCCATAATATATATTTTATATTATATATGATTTTATATATAGTATAATATAATATATATTTTATAATATATATGATTAGCAGAACTGGAAAGGAATCCAGTTTACAAGCGCCGAAAGTGTCTTCTTTATCTCCCAGTGCAGCACGCAGTCAAACTGAATTTAGTTGCCATATAAACCCACCCTAATCCGGCAGCAAATTAGTCGGGACTCCTTAGCCTTGGCCACCACTTAGACTTACCTTGACTGCAGCAGCGGGATGAAGTGGGAGTACGAAGGCACTGAGTAACTGGAGGGACTTACCTTTGTGGTGGCGCAGATGATGGGCAGCAGATGAGCCCGTGCAGCAGGGCGGCTCGTAATATAGATTCCAGGTGTTCTCATAATCCGCCCGGGCGTATTCCACGTGTACGGTTTGGGCGACCAGGACGAGGAGCAGGGCACTGAGGCTGCAGAGCCTGTGGTTACCTTTCCCCGTGGCACACATGCTGCCTGCCTGCCTTTTGGCCTGGCTAAAGTCGGCAATAGAGTATTTTTGTATTTTAGCGCTGCAGTTTGAGTCACTGACTTTCGCGGTTGTCACTTTGCTAACTGATTGAGCAATCTTTAACTGGGCACTGAGCGACATTGGCTGCGATCTATTCTGGATTCGGTGAGCAGAGAGATCGTCCCGTCACACACACATGTTCATTCCTTCGCTTCCGTTTCCGCTATCGCTTGCGACGCACTCGTTTTCCTTTCCGTTTTCGTTTCCGTTTCCGCTTTCCCTCTTCACTGTGGCGCGCACTTCGCGAGCAGCAGACACGAACTGAAGGCTTTCGCAACGAGGAAGTGTGTTAAATAAACACACTCGCTTTGGGGTTCGCTCGTCTTGGCAGCGTTGGTTCGGCTCGGAGTTCGGGAAAAGCCTGAAAGAGCGAGAATTTCGAGAGCGTTATTAGTTGGGAAATGCGACGCCGGCGCAGTGGAAAATGTACTGCGCGATGAGTGGATTTCCCAGTAATGTTTGTGTTTATGCCAAGTGTATTGAACTCATTTGCAACGGGCAATGTGCAACGTGCAACGTGCAGCGGAGTCTGCAGCGGCTACATTTTCAAGGGTAAATGCAGCAGACACTTTCGAGCCAGCGACTGAAGTGCATACAAGCCACCCACTGCCCAACTCCTGGAAAAACCGGACAGCCCAAAGCGAGAGCAGACGGCTAGACGAGTGAAGGGTTCTCGGATGGAAGGGGAAATGGGGATATGGGTATGGGCATGGTAACTTCAACCGGAATATAACAGAATCGGGGCTTTGAGCCTAGCAGACGCCTGCACTTAAAGTACGCTCGTGCATTATTATTTATGCATATGCCTGTAGTTCCGTGTGTGTGTGTGTGTCTGGGAAATTCTCCTCTTTTTTTCCCAATGCTCCGCATCGCGTAGCGTCGCGTGTTTCAATTTGCAATGCAACATTGTATGCTGCAAAAAGTTCTCTAAAGCCAGACATAAGTCACTCAGACAGGCCCTGAGGGGGCGGGGCGCATCGGTGCTGTGCGGGAAAAGCGGAAAATAGGGGGCGGCGGTGGGCATGGGGCCGACGGCCAGACAGAGTCGAGCCCAAAGACAATTAGGCATTGTGTGAGTGTGCGGTAACCTTCAGACAGTCGGCTCTTTCGAATGTCTTGCAGCTTACTTTTGCTGTTCCAGCTCTTCGACTTGGTTCCACTGACAGCGCAGCATAAATCGGAGTTACAGGGGAAGGGAGTTGGAAACCAGAACTCTGGTCAGTTCTGGGGGTCGGGAAAGTTTTCAGGAATTTGCGGAGACCTTTGTTTGACAGGCTTGTCCAGCTGCACTGTGGCACAGAATTAGCTTAAATGGAAGTCAAATGAAATAATTGGTGTAGTCCATATAGATGGATTTCCAAAGCACTCTAACCTAAGATGTTTAATAAGCAAGGTATCTTTAACTTTCCCACAACTCCTTTCATGTATTTGTTGAAAAACTAGCTTATATTCATTATACCTTCCGGTTTTCTTATCGTGCTCCTGAATGTAAGGCCACAATGCCATATGGCTTCAATGTCCAATGCAGCCGCCGAGGAAACGGGCCAAGAAGCCGGCACCCACACACACCTGTCGTGGCCAACGAAACGAGCTCCACAATTGCCTTATAAATGCCCTCAAACTTCGACTAAGCCCGGCGAATAACTTTGATTAATGTGCGCTTAAAGAGGAACCAAATACGTGGAAAAACCTGAACACAGTGAGGAGAAGAAACACAGCGGCAAAAGAAAAGGCGGGCAGGAAAAACAACGACAAAAGTTTTCATAACTTAAAGCCAGAAAGCTGGAGGTGGAGTAGGAGCTGGTCTAAACGGCGTGCAGCCAGCGGCTTCTTAGCCAAAGCGCAGTACAAAAACTTCTGCAATCAAGACGGGTTAGCAGGGGGTGGCTGTGTGGTACGGGCTTGGCGGTTGGTGGGGAATGGGGGCTTAAGGACCAGGGACTGCAAAAGGTTCAAGGCGCCGCACAACAATGTCAGGGACCCGCTGGCAGGACGAAGGAATCACAGCGCGAAAGCGTTAAAAAAGCGAATTGTAAAACAAGCAGCAAACAAACGAGCAACATTCGCTCAGGGCTGGTACAACAGGACCCCCCGCCCTCATTTAGCCTCACGCCCTCCCCCTTTTCCACACACAAAGTAGCCACACGATCCCAAACAACCCCCCTCTTAAAGTTGGTTAATAGAAAATGTAATTCGATGCATTTAATGTTGGCAACGGTTGCTGAATGGAAATCATTCTATGGCAACTGGTCGGGGAAATCCCCAACTTACCCCCTGCTATCATTTTCCCACTGAAAATTGGCAGGCCATGTCTTTGTCTATTTTTATGAGTTCGCATTGCATTCTGGCTGGCTGGCTGGCTAGCTGGATGTCCTGGGCACTCGCTCTTGTTTGAGTTGCTTACCTAATCCTTGCAAACAAGTTAAAAACGTTGTAAAACAAACAGCAGTACAAAGTGGGTGGGCTCACTGTTCAGTGGTTCAGTGGTTGGGGTGGTGCATACTTTTTTGGGGTTACAAATGGAATGGGGTTACAGTCAAAGTTCCCTACGTCGAATTCTCTGCAGCTCAACCGAAAGTTGTGGGGCACTAGCGTTTTATAGCGTAACTTTACAGACTTCTTGTATAACACAAGGCGTAATTTAAATGATAAGCGCAAGATCAATTCCATTTCTTTCCATTAGAATTAGAAAGCTAATTCCCAAATCCAAAATATATTTATATACGTGTATAGACACCAGTGTGGTTCGATCTGTGCAAGTTTGACTGTTGCGAAAGTGGGGGAAAACGAAGCGATTTTGACTGACATCGAGTGCCATGAGAAATACAAACAATCAAGCCGGGCGGACAGTTGCATTCCCTCAGCATTCCCCGGTCACCTTGCCACCCTGCCACCCCTCACCCACTAATTCACCCCTGCAGCAACTTTTGCAACCCCGTCCAACCCTTGGGTAACCTCAGCAACCTGCGGAGCGTGCCGCAGCAATGAAAACGAAGCGACAGCAATGCTAATAGAAATTAAGCGAAAGTTTGTGGGGCCAGAGAGGGGAGAGGGCTTTCCCAGCCAACCAGCCACCCCACCCCATGTAACCACCTGCACCACCCTGCTGAAGGTCGCCTGTGCAACGCTTGCTTTCATTTCGCTTAGCTGCTGCTTTTTATTTGCGACTATTTACATTTGCTTTTATTAATCATAAAAAAAGCATGGCTGCACAGAGGAACGAGAGCAATATTTCGCCGAAATTGCCAAAAAACGTTGACGCGGCTCGTGACCTCCGTTGGTTCGCCACCCACCGCCCATTCTGTGCCCCTCCCCCCGAGTTTGGTTTAGTATCCTGGCCTGTGCAGCACGAAAGTGCAATTTGATTTTAATGGCGGCAAAATGTTGGATTCTAGTCGCATAGCCAGACAGACGTAGAACCACCCATTCCCCTTAGCTGTTGCTTCCTGCCTGCAATCAGGAGCCATTTGTGTTTGTCGTTGATCCTCCTGGTGCAAGGCTCACGCACGTGCACTGAGCAAATTGGTCTACGCAGTTAGCTGGACTGCGGCCAGAACTTCTTTGTTGAAATGAAAGTCGAAGGCTTGCACTCCTTCTAAATTCTAATCAAGTGCAAGCTAGCAAGCAAACTGAAAACTATTAGTCTTGCGGTTTTCAGCAAAGTGTTTCTTGCAGTGTGTACACTCACACACACGCACACGGAGAATTTCCCCATGGAGTGTCGTCTGCCTGGTTCCGTTTTGCATTTTGATTGTTTTTTATGAGTGAGTGTGAGTGTGTCGCACGGAGTACGTGCGTGCATTTGTTTGTTTGTTTGTTTGTTTGCGCCGAATGTTTGGTCGAGAACTGAGGCAAACAACCGCTCGTCACTGTCATTAACGTCATTGTGGCTCCGGTCAGGAGCAGGACTCCAGAGCCCAACCGCCCGGTTGGTCCCGGTGTCCTGGTGTCCTGGTGTCGTTATGTCCTTATGTCCTGTGTCTGGCAATCGAACGGCTAGCGCGTCTAACAGTTTAAATTATTCAAATGACATTCTTCCACTGGCTGCGCCGACTCTTCCCCTAATTACATTTGGCCAAGGTTTAGTTCACGGTGCTCTCCACCCCGAACGAGAGCCACGAAAACTATCAATAATTCATTTATTTTCATTTAATTGACTGAAATTTCCGACGACACACGCACAAATGCCATTTGCATTGTATCCTCCCATTTTTTCAAGGCACGCCTTCGAGGGAAATTTATTGCCAAAGCATTGACCTTTAGTTGAGGATATGAAAATGCGGTCTTAAAATCAAATTGAAGGAGAAGGAGTTGAAGGAGCGTGAACATTTATTATTCTATTATTAAAAAGTGTAAAGGTTTTCTATTCTTGCAAATTCTTCGAGCACACTAAAGGATTTGTGCCACTGTCCAAGGAAAAATCGTAAGAGTGAGGTGTTGGAGTGAGCCTTCCGCTTTTGTTTGCTGATGTTTGCAGCAAGTCAAGTCAGGGTTGGACCTGCCTGGCTGTTGGTGAGTCTATGATAAGGGTTTCCCAGCGGCACGCACATTTGCCCAAAGGCCAGCGACCACTGACAGCCACCCAACCACCCAACCACCATCCCATCACAATGCAATGCTTGTGCATGGACTGAGCTCTAGTTTATTTGTTAATGGTTTATTTATTAATTCCTGCGGATTATCACATCAGACAGACATTGCCAATGGCAATGAGATAAGGCACGAACGGACAACGGAAATCCATATGCCATTTAGTCGAAGTCGGAGGGTGAAATTGGCGGAGGGAAATGCTTATCGGGCTGGCCGGGCTAATTCACGCCCCCTGCGAATCTTGAGCAAATTGCAAATTTGTGTTGAACACGTTGGCTCGTGTATTAATAATGGATAAGGAGCAGACTTCGCTGGCGGAATAGTTTCCCACATATACACTATATCCGCTTAAAAGTGCCAGAAACATGCGTAGACAATTTCCTTCGGCGCGGAGGTGTGGGTGGGCCGGAAATTTGAAAATTTTCAGCCAGCTTCGAAAGGGAAAACTGCAAGGGGATTTTCCAGCAGTGCGTTTGACAGGCTCTGAGTGTTCAGGCGTGTGTGAACTTCCGCACATGCACACTTACACACACTCGTACAGGCAGCCATTTAAGGAGAAACAAATTTCCCCAAAATATGTACGCACTCACTCACATATACAATATACAGCAAATTCTCAGCAATTAGTAAATAAAATGTTTCAACTAAAATTTTACCAACCCCGAAATCCACAAAGGACCAAGGGAAACACGACTGAAAATTGAGAAAGATTCGAATTTTCGTGGCTGGGTGTGGGGTTGCCGAAAAACCTTTTAAAGTATTCAATAACAT